CAAGAAATGCTTTATCACATCGATTTGCTGGAATTAAAACCGAAGTGTGTAAAATCAATTTCCTTGCATAAATAATTTAAATGAAAAAAAAAAAATTGTTCTTGAAATCTATTCATTTATAGCATACGATTGGAAAATGTTATCAAAAGCATTTCTAGCCAACTGATAAACTCAGAACAAGCCTACGCATCAGCACTCGATTGCGCAACTAACACCAGCGGCAACCTTACTAATATAATAGAAACAAAATCCACTAAACCCCAGCCACTTCTTCAAGCTGCCGCCGATAGCAGCGCACCTGAGACGCTTTTCCTGCAACAAATAATTAACAATTATGTCGACCCCCTGCGGCAGGCAATTACAAAATTGCAACGAAAGTTGTTGGAACCCACACAGAAGAAATTCTATTTGCATCGTCGTGTCGGCCACCTGTTGCCGCTGACTAACGTCTGCTTCGACAGGAGCGGTACGCGCTGCTTGACCGGCAGTTATGATCGTACCTGTCGCATAATTAACACAGACGACTCGGGCGAAGAGCAACTGTTAAAGGGGCATGATAATGTTGTATTCTCGGTTGCCTTCAACCAGCCAAAATGGTAAGTACACCGATTAGTAGTGTCCACCAAGGTGAATTCCTTCAATTACCATCAATGCTTTCATTCTGCAGCGACAAAGTGGTCACTGGCTCTTTTGATGGTACGGCCAGAGTATGGCATACATCAAATGCTCAATCAGTATGTACGCTGTACGGACACACTGCCGAACTGGTAATGGCTGAATTTGACCCCATACAATCGACCATGGTGGCTACCGCTTCAATGGATGGCAGCGCGCGCCTATTCGACATAGAAACAGCCTTTGAGCTGCACGTCCTCAACCATCATGGTGCCGAAGTGATAGCCAGTCGCTTTAGTCGCTGTGGCACTATGCTGCTAACAGCTTCTTTCGATGGCACTGCGGCCATTTGGGATATACGACAGGGTTGGTACGTATCGTTTATGTATCTCAAAAGTTATTATCTCATAAATTGTTATGTAGCCTCATCTCGCAATTGCGTGGGCACACCGCTGAGCTTAGCAATTGCATATGGAATTTCGCTTGTAATCGCATTGCTACTTCTTCGCTGGACAGCACAGCGCAACTGTGGGATATCCGTAAGCTCGATGTGCCACTTTTTAACATCACCGGGCATCGCGAGGAGGTGCTTGATGTTTGCTTTGACTCTACTGGCTGCCGATTGGCCACTTGTAGCAGTGATTGTACAGCACGCGTGTGGAATGTACGTGGCGAATTGGAGCAGCTGTCGGTTATGGAGGGTCATAAAGATGAGGTTTCCAAGGTTGGAATTACATACATATATTTTGTGCATCAAGAACTTTGCTAAATTAGTTCAATGCTAGGTTTGTTTCAGTCCGCCAGGCGCTCTGCTAATGACCGCCTCGGCTGATCATACGGCGCGCTTGTGGCTTACTGAGACAGGTCAATGTTCGCAAGTCTTGAGTGGCCACGATTCTGAAGTGTTTTCTTGCGCCTTCAGCTATGCGGGTGATATAATTGTAACGGCATCTAAGGACAACACTTGCCGCTTATGGAGATGATATGACTGGTATACGGTTGGATTCAGTGATATGGATTAAAGCGAAGTTAAGATTATCAGCAACATATGTACATATCTTAGTAGAGGGAGGCGCCTTTTTCTGTAGTATTGCGTTAATGATTTATAGCAGCGACCGAAAATAATGATTATTTCAAAATTTTCGATATATATTCGATATATATATATATATTTATATATATATAAATTATATCTACGAATTACATTTCGATTTTAAATTAATCGCCCAAAAAAACATCATATATCGAGTTATATCTGTTTGATCAAAAATTAAACTCATTTTTCGTGTGTTATTTTTTTGTTCTGAAGTAATAATTATTTTGTGTGTTGTTTTCTTTTTGATCAAAAATAATAATTATATTATGAGTTTTATATTTTTGATCAGAAATAATCATTATTTTTTTAGTTTTATTTTTTTCATCAAAAATAATGATTATTCTTTGAGCTCTATTATTTTTATCGAAAATAAAAATAGTTTCTTAAGCGTTAAATTTTTCTCAGAAATAAAAATTAACTTTTGAGATTTATTTTTTTTTTGCAGATCGAAAAACTCAGAACGCCTCACTTCACCTAAACTCAGACCCACCACACCTCAACTCACCTCGCCTCAACTCATCTCAACTCTCCCTAAAAGCATAAGCAGACCAACTCGGGAATTAACTGCAGTTGATCCGGATTAAGTCCGAGTTAAACCGGATCAACGCTGCCGTCTGTTTATATTACATTTCTGAACTGATAAGCAAGTCAGAAGTCGAAGATCTCTATTAGGAAGTATGCTATCAGTTTATTGGAATGGCTAAGAGCTGAAGGTCTTCAAACCATTAACCTAAACCTGGGCATCGCTCTTCATAAGCAGGTGTATACTGCCGCCAGCAACAGATAGGCAGATGTCAGTAAAAGCATAGACAGGCGGCAACGTTGATTAGGATTGATGATCTGATCAAAATTCTTCCCTTGAATAATGCGGATTAACGAGCCACGAGTTCGTGGTCCGAGTTCCACGGCCATTCGTAATTTCTTTTCATTGTTTTTTTTTAAATTCATTCAATTTTTACTTTTATTTTTTGAAGTGAAGCTTCTTTTGCGGCGGTTGGTGTGTTGGGAGTAAATAGGCAAATTCGTTAAATTTTGCAACGGAAATGGTGCAACGGAAATGGTTGGGGCTGAAACAAGTGCTTCTTGAGTTTATGCACGTGGTATGAATTTAACAAAAACTTGTAATAAAAGGTTAAAGAATAACACTTACAAAAAGACCAATACAGGAGTGAAAGAAACGGTGAGTACGTACATTGATAAATAAAAGCATAAAGGCAAGGTAAAAATAAAAACAATAACAAAGATGCATAAAGATAAAGGCAAAATGAAGACCCAGTTAAATTTAAACACTTTACTTAAATAAGGGCAAAGGTGAAGGGGGATATGTAGAGCAAGAAAGATTAAAATAAAGGTAATTATAGAGAAAAGGATATAGATAGAGAGACTCAATCTGGGATATTTGGGATTCTCGGGACATATCGATATAATAATTGATATTTTTATCGGTTATCATCATTTTTATCGATGTTATCGAAATTTTTATCGATATCGATATTTTTATAATTTTGTTATCAATATTGTCGATTGTATTATCGATTATTTATCGATTTTGTTGTCGATTTTGTTATCGATTATTTATCAATATTTTTATAGATTTTTGCTATCCATTGTTTATCGATTTTGTTATCGATATTTTTTATCGGGGAAGAGAAGGAAAAGCAGAATAACATAAATGTAATTAAAACGAACAGGGGTAGAGGTAGGGATCTAAATAGAAAAAAGACAAAAAATATAACCTTAAGCAAAAGCAGATGTATGTATGTATGTATGTATCTACATATGTACATATGTAGATATGTATATTGGTTGTGAGACAACGTAAGTTTCACTTTTCCAGTGTAGCCCCGGCGCACTTACTTTCTTTTTCAAATGTACTTAATTATAGTTGTTAACTTTTTCAATAAAATCAATCGAACCTGCGTCCTATGAAATTGTACTACGGAGCTCTGACCACTCGGCTACCGCGAACCTCAAACTCGCTTACATAGTTCGTTTGCTTACTTGTACCATAGACAACTGCTGGTCGTGTGGCTAGTGTTGTCATAGGAAATTCCTTTGATCCGCATTAATTTGGAGGATTCGCTGCAAGACTTATTCCCAACCAACTTCAGTTAATTCCAGATTAACGCGTTGATCCGGATCAACGCTGCCGTCTGGTGCGATGAGAATGGTAATGACGCAATTGTCATTTAACATACATTTTTACGTATATATATATTTTTTTTTTTAAGAGCAGACAAAATCAATCCTATCGTCTGTTGTTCAACGGCAAGGTATATAACACTGGATATATATTATTTTAGTAACATTTGTGGATTTCTTAGAAAGATTTTGAGTTTGCAGTGTTATAGCTCGCTCAAAATTAAAGGGCAAATTTGAAGCTGGGACTTACTGTTTATTTTTGACATTTTTTTTTTGTTGACACTGCCAGTCATGTTCTTCCATACGAAGTATGTCCGATGATATGAAGCACATCTTCCCAGCTACCTTAAACTTGCGCTTTATTATACTTAGGGCCGATTTCATAATGAAGGACTTCATTTGGGAGCCGGGCGGGATGTTTGTACGTCCTCTCTCAGTTAAAATCGAAACAAAAAGCGAACGGATCAAACCAAGTTGGGCACATTTCTCTGCTTGACTGGAATTTTAAAAATTCGTTCCTCAACTTTTCTGGACAATACTGTCAAATAATTATGAATTATTAGCTTTGTTTAAGAACATTTCCAGTAAGTACCAGCAGCGAGAACGTAAACACCAAATTGAGAGTAAAATTTAGAGGAAGAAAAAGTTTTCAAATATAAATATATATTGAACGCAAAACCAGTAAAAACGGGCAGCTTTCGCCATAGTGACACTTTTAGATGGTTAAATTGGAAATAAATGATTCATAACTAGCCGGCCACGGATACGCGAGGCTTCGCCACGCGCTGAATGTATGCATATGTATGTACATTTACGTATCAGGAGAAAGAAATCATATGTCATTATGTACTTATATTATACATATTTGTACTTATTATATACATACAAAATCTTGTCTAAATCCGTTCAGTAGCGTGGTTAAAATATCTCGCCTTTCCTTTGTACTTTGTATAGAAGATAGTAATATTAAATAGGTGGCAACCCTACTCAAAGAACTTAAAGTTTTTGTACATGCGAAGGCCATGCACTTTCAGAAAGAATGCAGAAAAATAATACATTATTACACATCCAGAGGCAAAGACTTTTCGTTTGACAGTGACGGAACAGAACTGATGCCTGCGCTTATTATGATTTAATATGGTAACTTTATTAACAGGTGGCAACCCTATTAAAAAAAATATTAGTGCTTTTCTCATCTTTTGTAATCCAACGAACGGTGTGGATCGTATAGTTTTTTAGACAGGTGGCAACCCTATTAAAATTCTAAGTAAAAAAAAGATCCCTCTCCTGTCGATACAGAGTATATTAGAGAAAATCTCGTCTAAATCCGTTCAGTAGTTTTCGTGATTACCGCGTACAAAAAATCTCGACTTTCCTTTTTGCTATGTATAGATAAATAAATAAAGTGTTAATTTTTAACCGACTTAAAAAAAAAGGAGGAGGTTATCAGTTTGTCGGAATCTTTCCAACGGAAAGGTGGTTCCTCAAGGGTGGTCCCATACTAATTTTGTTTAAATTTTTATAAGCGAATTGAAGTCGGTTTTGTTTTTTGCTTAAAAATTACTTGTTGCATAGGTTTTTTGGCGACGTCATATTTGCAATGGTGTATTAGAAAATTTGTTTACAATTCTTTTGACCAAAATTAAATATACATTTCTATCAATTTTGAATAATGAAAAGTCCTAATAAACTATGTGAAAAGCAATGAATGACTATAGTTGTGTTTGTTTACAAATTATCCAGTAATTTGCCAGCAGCTAGGGATGCAAACGATGCATCGATATTTTTGAAACATCGATAATATCGGTTCAAAATTCGATGTTTGCCATCGATGTTTACAATTTCCTAAAATCGCTAAATTGGCGATACATCGATTTAATCATTAAAAAAAAGACCGGGTTCCCGTTGAATTTTCAACGAAATTGGGGCTTGGAACTTTAGGCTCAGCAAACTTACGACGGCATGTTTTTTTATTATATTTATAGGAAGGGCAAAGGAATGGTATATAAATACAGGGAAATACATCCATATGTGAGTATTTTTCTAAATGAATTACAGAGAGTATGAATTGAAAAGTATTAAATTTTCCTTTTAATGTGACTACAACCTAACAAATTTGGAAACATCGGAAACCATCGATATATCGAAGTTTTTCTGGCGATGTATTTTAGCACCGATGTTCATTTTTCCGATGCATCGAAACATCGATTGCATCCCTACCAGCAACTCTCCAGTAACTTAATTTCTAAGAATTCGCACTCATAGAAAAAATTTACAAAAAAGTACGCGAACGCTTTCCAGTGATAATTTGCAAGTTTCATGAACAGCTGATAAATTGGTTGTTTATTCGCAGCATATTCCTAATAAAACGATATATTTTATATTTAAAAATGTTTATTTTGTGAATTTCCACAACAAAAAACCACAAACAGTCTCGTTACTAGTTTAAATTTCATCCAGCAACATGCGATCAGCTGTTTTTCATACTGGCGAATTCTTACAAGTAAAAATTTGTCCAGTAAAAACTTGCAACTTCAGCTGTAATTTTTCGCTCTCTCAATTTGCTCTACTTTGAAAGTTTTTGCGCACAAAAACGCCAAAACATGAAAATTCGTAAAAACTTTTACTGGAAATGAGTAAACAAACGTAACTTATACAACATAAAAGCACAAAGCTAGGTTACGTTCATTTAATGCTACGGCACCGCTTTTCGAGGAAACCAAAGCTTTAAAGCCTGTTCCTTTAGAAAAAATTAACTACCAATTAAGAAAATCGATGGTTAAATAAGAAAGTAATGATTGGTCAAATGAAAATGCGCAAGGCTTTTTTTGGAATGAAATATGAGCCGAAAAGAGTGTTACTCATACGCCGCGTACACCTGAG